TGCTCCGCCACCGGGTCGCTGACCTCGCCGCCCGCCGGCCCCCGCTGCACCTGCAGCTCCAGGGCCTCCTCCAACTGGCGCAGCTGGGCGACCGAGGAGTCCAGCTGGCGGTTGAGGGCCTCCACGGCCTTGGGCACCACCAGCCGCAGCACCTCCACCACCTTCCGTCCTGCTTCCACGCCCCGCCGCAGCTGCCGGACCTCAGTCTCTTCTGTCTTAGGCTTCTTGCGAGGAGGGGCGCCGTCGTTTTCAATCATTCTGATCGCAAGGATTGTGTCGGGGAGGTCGGTTGGGTCGGCGGCCAGGTCCTGTGAGAATATTGCTGGATGATCAATATACACACAGATACACTGGCGTTCAAAATTAGCGGTCCACTTCTTGTTTCCGGTACCATTTCTATCTACGACGCTGAGATGTTGCAGATAGGTGATGTCATCATTGATCTTAAAGGCTCACGGAGAGCGCAACCCGTGCGCCACCCCTTACTAGCTGTGCAACCCCTACAGTGGGGGAGGGTAAAAAATCGCTCAAAACTTCTTCGAATTTGGTACTTGCAGTGCTCTGAAGATCATGGTATTTGATGAATCGAGCAAACATTTTGTCCTCTTTCGATTGGTGTAAGCGAAATTGTGATGGGACAAACCCACCCCCTCCCACAGTCTCCCCCACCCCCTTAAAGGGGTGATGAGTTTTGAGGAAAGTCCAACCCAGCTGGAAATCCTGTGGGGACGTCCCCTGTACACGGCCCATGTGGTTCTTTTTCGAATCGGATAATCCCCGGTCGAACACCACCGGCCGCGGAAGTCCAACCTCTTTCTGAATATCGGCCATTTTGGACCCTTAGGGTTGAAGTAAAGGCTTGAAAATTTCAGGGACGGCGGTACTGGACTGGCCTACTTGCCCGCGGCGCGGCTAAGTCCAGCACTTGCACGAGACAATGCACTGTGAAAAAGATTGTAAATTTACAAAAAATTTGTAAGTTGTAAATTTACGAGAGCAGATTTTTTACTCGCCAATGGATTTTAAATCGATACGCACTGCTAGAGACACTCTTGGCAGAATCACATGATCACTGGGATAACTTGCCTAATCTATTAGAATGTAAGCTGCAGCGGTTTTTACAAAATAGAATAAGTAAGGTAGGGCCAGGGCGGGTAAAAATGAGACGCAGGGAAGAATGAGAAACCACTTTCCTCGTAATCGACAAACATAATAAAAATGTTCTTAGTCAAAATAGGTGAGTCAAACGCAGGCGTCCACTTGATATTTTCGAATTGTTGCAGCTTCTACTTAATGTGTGTTGTCTCATTCTTCCCCGCGTCTCATTTTTACCTGCCCTGACACTATTTAAAGTCTAAGGATGACAAATACTTGAAAGCACGTTAGTCATGTACAAGTACTACGAAAAGATAGTGAGTAGTTAATTTGTTAAATAGACTCATTTTTCTAAAAAAAATCGCTTAGAAAAGGAAACAAGAAAGAAGATGAAAAAAACTTGCAAGATACCGGGCATTCGTACAAAAGTAGGGATCAAGTACAGTAAACTCAATAACATGTAAAGCTGATCCAGCTGTTGTTTTTATTTACTGACCTTCCTGCAAGTTGGGCACTTCTTCCCCAAGGCAGGATTCTGCACACATTCTCCACAAACGGTGTGCCCACAGGGCAAGCTTTTGGGACGGTGCTGGTCCAGGTCAAATTGGTTAAAACAAATATCACACTGAAGTTCCATCACTGAAAAAAAGGATGAAGACTTTGAGAAGTAATGCAGACTGAAATTACTAAAAGAAAATTGCCATAAGTGAGACTCTAGAAAAGTAGTTTCATTTAAAAGAAATGATGAACATCTCTTGTTGTGACAACAACTATTACCAGATACCCGCATTTAAGGGTGGGGGCAGGTTAAGAACATAAATTAGCACAAGGTGATGAATTGAGATACGTACCTACTCCGCTGGTGTCGTCCAGTTCTTAACTTTTTACAGTGAAAGTGTATCAAGTCAGTTTGGCCCAAGGTTTGGCCGGTACGTTGCTGTGTTTTACAACAAGAAAAATTAAACTACAACGCGGATAGAAGAAGTAACTGCGAACTGTTCCTTCAGTGAACTGGACAGGTTAGGTTACGCTCAGGTTAACTTTCCACAACACATGACAACACGCTAACTTGTACGAATTTTTTTTTTTTTTTTTTTTCAAAACATCTTTATTT